AGATTTGAGCGAAAACTGAGCCCTGGTATCGATACCAAGTTGATTAGGTATCGGTATCACGATTCTAGTGGGCTTAGGTACCAATACCAAGGTTTGAGGTACCAATACCTCGTTGTCGAAGGCCCAGGTACCAGTACTATGTTTACTATTACCGGTACTTGGCAAGCAGAATGATCGAGTACTGGTACCAAGTACACGAGGTACTGGTAACTCTTCCAAAATTTTCAAAAATTTANAGTACCAAGGTTTGAGGTACCAATACCTCGTTGTTGAAGGCCCAGGTACCAGTACTATGTTTACTATTACCGGTACTTGGCAAGCAGAATGATCGAATACTGGTACCAAGTACACGAGGTACTGGTAACTCTTCCAAAATTTTCAAAAATTTAAAATAACCTTGCTAAGCCTCTAGGCCTAGAGCATTCTTGTTTAAAGGATGTAATTAGAGTAATATTGATGACAAATTGATTGATATTGGACCTTGGGATAATCGTGTGATGACATGGTGTCGAGTTTATGCGGCATACACGGGTACTTCCGCAGGTTGATGGATGATCAATGAGTTAAGAAAGAACCCCAAATTTTGGGGGTCACATTCATGGTCTGGGTTCACAATCTAATATAATTAGTGTTATTCCGTCATGTTTCATTAATACTAATTGCCCGAACAAATGGATCTCCTCTAGGGAGCCGTCAAGCATTCATGGTTTGATCCCCGACTATTAAGTGCTTCACATTGGAGCTCGGAACATATGTTCGAGCTTTCATGAGGAGGAAACAGATCCCCTCGGTATCCCTCAAGGGCTCCCTATCGGCACGATAGCCATTAATGCCTCTTAATGATGAATGTCTTCACATTCTTTGAGGATTAGACAACTCATTAATAATCTGTCAAACCAACACAACCCACAATAGTGAGCTTCCAGATTTCTTGTAATGTTGGATTTCGAGTGACATACTCGGCCCCTTTTGTTATAACTACTTGGCTCCTATTTCTTACNACCAACACAACCCACAATAGTGAGCTTCCAGATTTCTTGTAATGTTGGATTTCGAGTGACATACTCGGCCCCTTTTGTTATAACTACTTGGCTCTTATTTCTTACGAATTGTGCATGTTCTAACAACTATGTACATGTTAGGTTCTTATTAGCGAGTCGTCTAATGTCTACTCATGAAATTTACTTTAAAAGGAATAAATTAAGATTGAAATCATATAGTTGATATTAACCCCCTTCTCCTTTAACTAGATTAACGATCCAAGCTATTATGAGTAGGAAAACAGATCCCCTCGGTATCCTCTGAGGGCTCTCCGTCAGCACGATGACCATTAATGCTTCCTAATGATGACTATGTTCACATTCTTTGAGGATTAGACAACTCGTTAATAATCTGTCAGACCAACACAATCCACATTAATGAGCTGCCAGATTCCTTTTAATGCTAGGTTTCGAGTGACATACTCGGCCCCATTTGTTATAATTATTTGGCCCATATTTCCAACAAATTGTNCTCTGTCAGCACGATGGCCATTAATGCTTCCTAATGATGACTATCTTCACATTCTTTGAGGATTAGACAACTCGTTAATAATCTGTCAGACCAACACAATCCACATTAATGAGCTGTCAAATTCCTTTTAATGCTAGGTTTCGATTGACATACTCGGCCCCATTTGTTATAATTATTTGGCCCATATTTCCAACAAATTGTGCGTGTTCTAACAGCTGTGAGTGTCTACATTTTGGGTTTTTATTGGCGAGCCGCCTTATGTCCCGTTATGAAATTTATTTAAAAATGAATAAATTAAAATTGAAATCCTATAGTTGATATTAACCCCCTTCTCCTTTAACTAGATTAACGATCATTCTCACAAAAAAGCCTCTAAAAACCAAAAAAAGCTGTGTCACACCAACCAAATAAATTAAGAAAAATTTCATCCACACATCCTCTAATTAGATCTAAATTCAATGACATACCCTTCCAATTTTGAAACTTCACTTTCACCCCCTGTTAGTGTTCGTCGGGTTACGGCATTAACAACAATTGTTAGTTTACGTAAATACCCCTAAAAATTTTATAGAGTAAATTTTATCCACATCCTTTATAAATACACATAACTTTAACGACACCCCTAACCTATCTTTAATAATACTCTCTCCAAATTCTGAAATTTCAATGCATTCCTTTTTAGTTTTATTATATTAACCTTTAGGTTGATCAACTTAATATTTAATTTTATCAAATTAATGTTATTTATTTAATTTAAACTAAATTAACATTTCATCTCATTAAATTAACACAAAATTGTTATTTAATTTTATCAAATTAGCATTTAGTTATATTAATTTAATATTTTATGTCATTAAATTAATATTATTTCTTTAATTTAACATTAAATTATTATTTAATTTTATCAAATTAACACCAAATTTTAAAATTAAATTAAAATTTAATATATTAAATAGAAGAATAATTTTGATTAATTTAAGATTTAACTTTATCAAATTAGTGTCAATTATTTAATTTAACACTAAATGAACATTTAATTTTATTAAAACAGCACTGAATATAAATATCAAATTAACACTAAATTAATATTTAAATTTATAAAATTAAGACCAAATTTATTCAATTATTATTAAATTTTANTATTATTTAATTTTATCAAATTAACACCAAATTTTAAAATTAAATTAAAATTTAATATATTAAATAGAAGAATAATTTCGATTAATTTAAGATTTAACTTTATCAAATTAGTGTCAATTATTTAATTTAACACTAAATGAACATTTAATTTTATTAAAACAGCACTGAATATAAATATCAAATTAACACTAAATTAATATTTAAATTTATAAAATTAAGACCAAATTTATTCAATTATTATTAAATTTTATCAAATAATATTTAAATTTTACATATAAAGGGTGATATACGAAAAAAGTGGTCAGATGATGTTGTAGAAGACAGATGATAGCAGGGGAGTTAGAAATTGATGAAATTTTGACATAAACTTTATCGATTGTAATTTTTATTATAAAAAAATTATTTTTAACTATAAAAAATATAAAAACTCAATTATGTTACCAAATGAGTAATAATTTGATTACTAATATTATAACAAAATTATTATGCAACGCTTTAAAATGATAAAAAATCATTGAGATAATATAATGATAGAAATCACGTTTATGCCAACTTCTCATTCTCTATGTCTCTACCATGGCCAACAGTTAAAGAAGAAATCAATCCAACAATAATATATCACAACATAATGATATAACAAAATGGAAAAAAAATGTGTGCTTGAATAAAATTAAAAAAAAATTACATGAAAAATTTTAAAAATCTCTACAAGAAAAAAAATAAAAATATCTGCATGAAAAAAAATACATCTAAAAATTTTAAAAAACATGCATGAAAAAAATTAAAAGTATCTGGATGAAAAAAAATTAAAAAAAAAACTGCACGAAAAAAATTTTAAAAAATTGCATGAAAAAATTAAAATATCTGCATAAAAAAAATTGCATGAAAAAATTTTAAAATTTTTTTATGAAATACATTTACAAACTTGCAAGAAAAANATTTTTTTAAAAAATTGCATGAAAAAATTAAAATATCTGCATAAAAAAATTGCATGAAAAAATTTTAAAAAATTTTTATGAAATACATTTACAAACTTGCAAGAAAAAAATAATTTTTTTTTTAACCAACGTAGGTAGTGATCAATCACTGTAGAGAACGAGTCGAAGAAGAATGACTAGCTTCAATCCCCACTCTCTTCCAGCAACACCATATCATTTTTGACCTTTAGCAACAACAAAGTGTATGGTTTATACAGTGAGGAGGAGGGTTGAGAACATTTTAGTATATTTACAGAAGAAATGGTAGTTTTAATATTTTTAAAAAATTTATTGTTAAACCATTATTTTTTGTATTGGTAAAGTTAAAAATTACCGTTAAGGATGTCTTTCACTTGAAAGTATAAACCAGAATAGGATGCAGTAAAGTTTGAGAATCAAGAGGGGTGTTATTGAATTTAGACTTNATAGTGAGGAGGAGGGTTGAGAATATTTTAGTATATTTACATAAGAAATGGTAGTTTTAATATTTTTAAAAAATTTATTGTTAAACCGTTATTTTTTGTATTGGTAAAGTTAAAAATTACCGTTAAGGATGTCTTTCACTTGAAAGTATAAACTAGAATAGGATGCAGTAAAGTTTGAGAATCAAGAGGGGTGTTATTGAATTTAGACTTAAATAGAGGGGGTGTGGATGAAATTTTCCAAATAAATTATAACGGTCAACCTGAATTCGAAAAAGGCTAAACTTTAACGGTCAAAACCGCAACATGAGCTGATCTTTCGTCAATGAAAACCTAACGCACCCACACCCCCACACTATGCCCTCACCCCCCCCAGTCAACGCTTTCTACACATTTTCTTGTGTATTTTAACTTGTGTGTGTGTGTGAATATCTATAGTATAATATTTGAATGCTAGATTTTCGAGCTCTTTAAGGGTTCCTTCACGAGATAATCGCCTTCTCTGAATTACTCTCTTAGTTAACTCCGCTTACGAGCTTTCAAAAATATGTTAGGAAGCTTTGAGTTTAAGATTTCCCAGCTCCAAAGCTAAATATTGAGCAGTTTTAAGCAAGGTTTTAGAGTAACTTTTAAGGTTCTTCAGATCATTCTTAAAGTATTCACAGTTAGCTGAATTAAGAGTTCCACAGTTTCCCCGGGTATCCGTTCAGTTTTCGATCATCCTTCTGAGACATTCAAGCCTGGTAAGGAGTCTTGTAGCTTCTTTCTTTTGATTGTATGAAATTCTTATCTGGGTTTTTGCTTAGTATCATTCACATAGTTTACTTTCTCCGTGGTCAAAATTAAGATTATATTTGTGGAGTCTTCTGGATATTTTCGAACTTTGGTTCAAAAATTCAATATAATTTTGTATTGGTAAGCGTTTTGCTTTAATTGAGTTGGAAACTATATTGAGGGGTAAGAGCAAAAGTAATCTGATTTAGTAATTGAGGATGGGAAGGTCATGCTTTTCAAAGTGTAGGGGAAGACTGATGGGTTGGCTTCAGATTATGTTGGGAGGGCTTGTTATAATTGTGAGCCTATCGAGTTTATTTAGGTTTTACTCTGCTGGATTTTTCGTACACAATGAAGATATATGCCGCCATTTCTACAATGTGAAGGAGGTTTATGAGGGTTTTGATATACGAGCCCTGACGGCTCGGGTTGAAGAAGTTCTTTGTAAGATGGACAGCTTGCAGACTAAGCTCGAATCAACTGTGCAAGAAATGGAGAAGGACAAAGAGGGTTTGACTAAGACTAAAATTTCCGGATTGGAGCACAAGAGGTTTTTAGAGGAGGAGGTAATTAGGCCTCTTTTTGATGCCCACATTGCTCTTAGACAGATTAGATTGCCCAAAATTGAAGGGGTCAGAANAAAGAGGGTTTGACTAAGACTAAAATTTCCAGATTGGAGCACAAGAGGTTTTTAGAGGAGGAGGTAATTAGGCCTCTTTATGATGCCCACATTGCTCTTAGACAGATTAGATTGCCCAAAATTGAAGGGGTCAGAAACACGACTATTAAGGAAGAGCCTTTGATGAATACTTTTGTGATTGAGGAGATTCGGAAGTACATTACTCCAAAAGAGAACAGAGTTGGCAAGGTCAATATATACGGAACAGGGAGGATTTATAACACGATAGGGCACGCTTGTGTTTTATTGAAGAAAGAGTTGGAAGAGTATATGGATTATGACATTGGATCTTACTGTAAAGACGATTGGAATTTGGCTCAAAAGCTAATGATTAATGGGTGTGATCCTTTGCCCAGGAGACGGTGCTTGACAAGGGCTTCTAAGCTCTACCAGAAGCCTTACCCTATTAACGAGTCCCTATGGAGAATACCAGATGGTAGAAATGTTCGGTGGAGCAATTATCAGTGCAGGAACTTTGAGTGCTTATCGAGCAAGAACCCCAAACGAGGTTATTCAAAGTGTACTGGATGTTTTGAAATGGAGAAGGAAAACCTTAAATGGATCACTAACACCTCGCTTCCAACAGATTTCCTCATCAAAGATATTCTGGCATTTAAGCCAGGGGAGGTAAGGATCGGACTAGATTTTGGTGTCGGTACAGGGACATTTGCTGCACGGATGAGAGAACAAAACGTTACAATTATCTCAACTGCTCTGAATCTTGGGGCTCCTTTCAATGAAATGATTGCGCTTAGAGGTTTAATTCCTTTGTATGTGACATTAAACCAACGCCTCCCATTCTTCGACAACACCATGGACTTGATCCATACAACTGGATTTATGGATGGCTGGATTGATCTGCAATTGATGGATTTTATTCTATTTGACTGGGATCGTATTTTAAGGCCAGGAGGCTTGTTGTGGGTTGATCGTTTCTTTTGTAGCAGAAAGGATCTGGATGATTATATGTACATGTTTCTGCAGTTCAGGTACAAGAAACACAAGTGGGCTATCTCTCCTAAATCCAAGGATGAAGTTTTCCTCTCTGCACTGTTAGAGAAACCTCCTAGATCTTTGTGATCATTCCATTTTTGTCGCTTTCATTACATCATGTAATTGTTTTGAGTTTTGAACATGCTTGGAATTTATTATTTTCGTGTTGGTAAATGCTGTTCTTTGTTGATTGATGACTGTTACTTGTGTTATTTTCCTTGTTTCTTTGAAGAACTAGTTTAAAAGCAGTCTGAATTTATGCATGAGTTAGAATTACCAATGAAAAATGACGTGCTTCTTCATTTTCCCTTTTTGCCCTTTTCGTCGAGACCACTTATCTGCTTAATTGCTTAGAATTTCTATTACCATCTTAAAAGTGCAGATACGGAGTTCAGGATCAGTTGACTGTTGAAGCTGAAGCATAGTCGGTGGATCCCACTCCAGGAAATCGCATATGTTCGAAACTGGCTTTCTTAGACTAGCTTTATGCAATTGTGAAAATGGTTTTTCCTCAAATTACCTAAAAGCATCGACATTAAGATCTAGAGACCTTCTTTTGGCTTGACCTCGACAACATATTAGGTCCTCAGTCAGAAGTAGCTAAGTGATTGTATGCTTATACAACACCTATGCTGTTTTTGTATTTGTCTAACTTAGTGTTCATGCACAAAAAATTGGATTTATGCACAATCAAATCAGTTGAGTGTATGATGCAAGATAATTAATGAAACAGTTAATAATAAAGGGTTTGGGGACCTAACCACTAAAGGCGGCGACAGTGGCCATAGAACTTTATTAATGAAAGAGTACAAGGTAATAGGAGAGAGAGAGAAAGTACAAGAGTACGCTCAAGGTGAGGTGAGATGTCTCTCAGGTGTAGAGGGGCTACAATTTATAGGCACAGACCATAGCTAAGGCAGTGACGTGAAGAGCATGCTACTAGTCTTTTGGGAAGGATAGCTACAATTAAGGATAGGTGTCTTCGAGTAATGACTATCTCGATGTTTACTCCCAACGTGCGTTGATCTTCCTAGACTCTTGAGCTTTGTATTAGGTTGAGGCCATTACCTGAGCCCCATGATTTGGGCTTAGGCGTGGTCCAAATCAAGGCTCATCATTTGCCCCCATGCCACAAGCCCAAGTAGTGATATGGGGAAAAAACAAAGCGAGCTACATTCTAAGGGAGATATACGAGGGCATTTGCGACAACCACATTGAAGCTCAAACCTTCGCCTATAAAGCACCAAGGCAGGGGTATTTCTGTTCCACAATCATCAAGGATGCGAAGGAGCTGGCTAAGAAATGCAAACATCTCCCACTGTCCTCCAGAGCTCCTCACCATGGTGATAAGCCCTAGCCTTTCCAGCAATGAGGATTGGATATACTTGGGCATCTTTAATTAGCACGGGGCAGTGCAAGTTCGCCATAATATGGGTTGACTATTATGGGCCAAGGTGGAACCCCTCGTAGGGATCAAAGAACAGAAAATCCAAAACTTCATTTGGAAATCCATAGTTCGCAGGTTTGGCATCCTGAGGGCTCTCGTCTCAGACAATGGAAGGCAATTTGAGAATTCGGCGTTCAAGGGATTCAACATCGAGCTGGGCATAAAGAATTACTTCTCTGGCCCCGCTAATCCATAGTCTAACAGACAGGCAAAAGTCAACATCTGAGCTATCAAAACAACTCTGAAGACTAGACTTGAAGCTTCAAATATCCAGTGGGTAGAACATCTGCCAAGGGTGCTATGGGTTTTACAGACCCATTGTTAGAACAATCAAGAACGAGACACCTTTTGTTCTGGCCTATGGCATAGAGGTAGTAATTCTTATTGAAATAGGTGCTTCATCTCCACAGACAAAGCTTATAGATCCACATCAGAACGATAGGTCATTGCTCGTTAATCTCGACTTGCTAGATGAGAAAAAGAATAATGCTCTACAACGCATCTCGGACTATCAAAGAAAGACAACACGAAACTACAATAGAAAGTCAAGCAAAGAAGTTTCAAAGTAGGAGATATTTTCTTAAAGAAACTCCTAACTGGGAAAGACCCTGCTTGTGAAAAATTAGGACCCAACTGAGAAGGACTGTACATAGTCACAAGGGTGATCAGGCCAGGAAACTATGAACTGCAAATTGAAGAGGAAAAAACCCTACCTCACTCGTGGAACATAGACCACTTGAAGAGGTTTTACCAGTAGGAGGGTGTAGCAGGGAAAACCGAAGATGAGACATACCTTGTAAAGATTTTCAATCAGTGAATGAAAGATTCATTTTTCAACTAAATATAGTTAGAGAATCAGCTCATCCCTTTAAAAGAACAAGATGAGCTCTTAAGCTCATAAGTGAACGATGAATTTTTCAACTCATAAACATACGATGAGCTCTACAAATCATAAACATACGATAAACTCTTAAGCTCATAAATATACAATGAGCTCTTCAGCTTATAAACACTCAATATGAGCTATTCAACTCATAAATACTCCATGAGCTCTTAAGCTCCTAAAATCAATATGAGTTGCTCAGCTCATTAACACTCAAGATGAGCTCTTTAAGCATATAAACGTTGCAATGAGCCCACGTCTAGGGGGCCACATAGACCTCAGACCTCAGACTTGGCCCCATAAACAAGCAGTTTTAAAACAACTGCTCCCAGAAGCCCAGTACCTTTCTTGAAGTAGAGAGGAAAGGAAAGAGATATGTACAATCTCAAGCATAGAGAAAGGAAAAGATATTCATTGAAGAATTTTTTCCAAAAAAAAATAGTTACTATTGAAAACCAAATAGAAATTATAGAGCTAAAAGTTCATTTAAGAAAAAAAACAAGAAGGCTAGGAATCTGTAGCTGGGGTAGAAGTCTCTTCCTGACCCTTAGCCATTTCAGCATCTTCAGTCACTGTGACATCCATCTGACATTTAGGTAATCTAGGAGCTAGGTCCATCTGACATTCAGAAAGAGTAGGAACTGGTACCATCTAACCTTCAGGCAGAGCAGGAGCTAAACTCTCCACCTCGTCCGAAGCAACCACTGGCAGAGTGGGGTCAGGAATCGCCCTACCCACGGTTGCAGCTTCCTCTTCGTTGATTCTTCCCTCCTCAAATAAAGATCCCTCTTCTTCTCCAAATGGAGGCTCGAAGTCTAAGTCTAGGTCGGGGTATTTCTTATTGCCTACTTCTGAAAAGCGAAGTAGCCCTTGGCATAGGCAGTGGCATCCTTATCCTTCATATCAGTGATGGTGGCATCTCTATTAGCCACCTTAGCCTTCTTGACCTCGAACTCCTTGTGTTATGTGTCGCAGACTATGCCCAATTCTTTCAGGTTATCCTTTGCCAACTTTGCCACTTCCCAAGCATCAACCACATCCATCTGAGCTTGCGCAAGACCATCTATCTTCAACTTGACCTCAGTCTCAAACTTTTCTTTAGACAAGCTTAGCTCCTTGACCTTCTTCTAGAGATCATTACTCTCAAAGTTCAGATCTGTAACCTTGAGCTTAGAGGCCTTGAGAGATATTTTGGCGTCCTCGGCAGCCTTCTTTGAAGCCCAAAACTCTGTTCGCCAAAGTGCCATTGTGTATCGCTATCTACAAAAATAGAAGTACATTCAAGTTAAAGGTCAGCAAAAGGATTCCACTGAGCTCAGACAATAGAGGTCAGGATCATACCGAAGTTTCCCTGTATAAGGTAGTGGTAGCTGAGGTAGAAAGAGACATTGAGGAAGCCTTCTAGATGTCAGTTTCAAGAATGATAGAGAGCATAACACCAATGGCTAAGTTCTCATCACGTAGAAGAGAGCGCTCACCTTTGGCCACGCCAGTTGAAGGACTCCCCAAGGTGCCATGAATCACCTTCGAAGGTGCTTATATTGAAGTCTGCACTAGAGGTAGTTCAAGAAATGAGTGATTAGCTTCGATCAAGGCACGCTGACCCTTGATTGCCTCTTTAAGCATGGTAGAGTTCTTGGCCAACATTGGAGGTGTCTTCTTGAGCTCAGAAGGGCGATCCTCGGTCTTCTTAGCCTCAACAGATGGCTTGGGGGCAGAAGGAGCCTTCTTGGAGTTTGTCCTTGCTGTTTTGGATGAAGGTTCTAGATTGGAATCAAGAACGACCTTAGCCTTCCTTTTTTCCAATGCCTTCGAGGCTTTGGTAACCTCTCTCATCTTGGACTGCTTTGCCTTAAAGATGTCAACATCTGGAGCCATAACGTTAAGATATAAGCAGAAATAGAGAAACAAAGGAGTAACCCAGAAATTCTACAAAGTAGGATGAAATTCTAACAAAAAGGATAAGGTGGAGGTCTTACTAGGAAGGTCTTCTCCTCTGACTACAGTAAGAGGTACAACAGCTTCACCCTTTGCCAATGGAGGCCCTAAGTCGTGCTTAGCTAAAATTGAGAGCGTGATGAGTTTAGCATACTTCTCCGAGGGGCACTCCTTAAGGTCTCGAAGGAGGAGTCTTTCGTTAGCACTAAAGTCAAAACGAATACCTGAAACAAGAAGGAAAGACGTTAGCAATCGAAAAGTTAAAAAAAAATAAAAAAAAGATCTCAAGTAAGACACCTCGACATAGACTCACCCAAGCTGTCTGGTTTCGACCAAGCTTGAGGCAAAACAAGAGTATCTGAAGCATCCCTCGGGTTGAACTCCCATTCCTAGCTAGACACAAAGAAGAACCTATCTTTCCAACCATTATGGGAGGTCGGTAGGTCAGTTATTAGAGGATGAATCTTCACTCGTTTCAAAATGTAGGGAAAACCATTGATAGGAGAAAACTTGACTTTGAAAAAGTTCATGAGTAAGGGGATGATGGGGAAGCCATCAAAGCCGTGTTCTTTTAAAATAAAACCATAAAGTCCACTAGGATACCCCAAAAGTTGGGGGAGGGTTGAGTTGAACATACGTTAAAGTGCTGGAGCATGAGTTTTAGGAAGGGGTGCATGGGAAACCTAAGCCCATTCTCAAAAGCAATAGGGAAGAAGCAGTTCTTCCTATGAAGCACAGACACGTATATTCTTAGGTAAGCCAAATTTGGCAAAAAGGATACCTAGTTAGGTAAGGGTAATCCTACTGGTCCCTAAAGTG